ATATATATATATATATATATATAGTCTTAATTCCAACATTATTATTATTAATCAACTAATTAATTAATTAATAATAATATAACAACTTATACCAATAATTCTCAGCATCTCGCAACTTCGCAAATAATCCAAAAATAATTTAATTAAATAATTAATTAAATTAAATTACGGGCGTTACAAAGGCCCTCAAGGATCAACGATTGTGCATATGGCACGACCAGGGATGAATCCCCCTCGAAGAACCCCTGTTGAGAAGACAAAGAGGCAGCTCGAACTTGTCCTCGGCATTGTCATCGATCAGATCTATCTGATCGGTGTAGGCACATGGCCGCTTCTTGGTCGGGGTAGCCTCCTCCGACGGGGATCGCTCCTTGGTGCGCGAGGAAGACGAAGTCCCGAACCTAGATTGCGGCTGACTCGACACTCCAGCAAAATGAGTCTTGATAATAAAAACTTTCTTCGCTCGTTTCACCCGATTTACATCGGCTAACTTCATTACTCAATCCTGAAAGCTCGACATTTTCCTGCGATAAAAACCAAGCACAATTAACAAACAAAAAATAAATAGATAGAAGATAGAAAGAAAGATAACTACCTAAGAGCTCCAGAGCCTCCTCGATAGTACCACACTTAATGAGCTTCTTAGTGTTGATAATTCGGGCCTCAAACACAGGCTTCTCGTGATCGTCGATGATAAGTTCCCCCTTTTTGGTCTCGCACAAAGCGGGGACAAAAATATCGACAAACGCCACTAACTTATTATAGCTAGCCAGATCCTCGACATCCAGCCTATCCGCCTTGACGATGTAGTAGTATGTGCCCTGCTCAAAATAGTTGAAACTCCAGTGCATACAGAACTTTGGGACCAACTTCTTCCTCTCCTTCCCGCGCTCGTTGCAAAGAGGACGCCCATCCGGCCCAACTATATTCATCCAGTCAAACACATAGCAAATGACCATCGACAACAAGGGTTGAATAATGTAGTACATGTTTTTGAAAGTACATACTGATTCATAGAACACCTTGAACAACTTCTTCGGCTGCTTCAATGAAACCTAGTTGTGTCGTCCTTTGGAAGACTGCCGCTGGAGGTGGAAACAGCGAAAGAACAACAGAATGGTGGCACCAATTTTAAGATACCGATAAACGATCTTAAATTCCAGAATAAATACGATCGCGTTCGGATGAATTTGAGAAGGCACCAACTTCAAATGGTTAAAGACGCCCACCTAGAAATCATTGAAGGGAAATCGCAAATACACCTCTCTAAAGCAATAGTCCTACATGGAGAATTGATTCTTTTCAAGTTTCGAGAACACTCGCTGGTCAGGTTCAGGCCGTGTGGCCTCCCAATTCTCGATAGATTGCACGTGACTAACACCTTACACCATGAAGGTAAAAATTTCTTCAGGAAAAATAGAAAAGCGCGAGGCCAAGCCATGAGCCATTTTACCTGAAAAGTAGAGGAAAATAGTGAATTTGACGAACAAATCAAATCCACCCTTCCACCGCAAATCAAGTGAAAGGGCGTAAAAAGCATCAGGATGACACCCCGACCAAGGCCCTGGTCAACGACGATAAGTTCAGAAAACATTCCTGCGACTAGAACTGCCCATGACCAACACTTTAGGAAGATCAACGATGAAGACTGAACACGGAGGCCAGACATCAGATCCCGTGAAGAAGAAACTCCCCGACATATGGGATATGAACACCGAAGGAGACTCATCAAAAACTTCATGGGACTTATCGAAAACTTCATAGGACTCATCGGAAAATTCATGGACTTGTCAAAAACTTCATACGATTCATCAGAAAACGCATGAGATTCATCAGAAAATTCATAAGATTCATCGCGAAACCCAGAATACGGTGCGACCACCACCACATGCATCACCAACACTGGCCCTATTTTCTTCCCTAAACGGCGCCTGAGCACCCCTTGGGGAAGATACGAGGCGGCCGACATTTGAAAATGACATAACCATCGTGAAACACCAATAATTCGCCAGTCCTAAGTTTGAAATGCTAACCTAACTAGCATTCTAACTACTACGGACATACAAATCATTAGAAAGTTCCAAGAGACTTACTTGTATGACGACAGTGGATGGTAGTTGAAAACGCTACGGCAGCAAAGGCAGTAACGATGGCGGCAGAATCTTCAAGAGTAAGAGCATGCGAGATTTGGTGAAGATAAAAATTTGAAACCTTTTACAAATGTTCCCCCTTTTCCTATTTATAGACCTCTGAGTAGAAGGCGCGTGTGCACGCGCCTAGGGAAACACACAACCATTTTGGCCATCATTAAACCTATTCCCTAGACTAGCCATCATCATGCATGCAGCAAGGCACACAATGTGTCAACTTCTAACTTCCACAATCTTTCCATCTCCTCGAACAACGAACACCCATCGTCGAGCACAAACGACAAACTCCCACAGTATCTTACGAGCATGTCCTCATAGAAATCATGAAGAGTCCCCGTCTCAAACATCAAATGCCAACAATGCATTTCCCTCCTCGATGCGTGAGCTAACTCTAAGGCATTGCTCCGCTGCCCAGAAACAACGATTTGGGGGGCTCATGTTCTGGATCAGCAACTAGGTATTGACCCAATCCACTTCTGCTCCAGAATGGCCCAAAGTCATTGGCCTAATCAACTTGAGCTGGCGAAAGGCACTCTTTCCCTGCTCCCCGATGGCTTTGGTCGCGTGCCTGCGTGACCCCAAAGACGTTGAGACCATGCTTGCTCGTGGCAACGGCTAGTTCCCGACATAACATTCCAGAATGTCGCACACAGGCTGCCTGCACCTAGCAATTACCTTTTTTTGGGGCCTAATATTCATGCTCAAAAATAGCGACCAATGGTCAAGCGCCAGAGGCATTATATAAACTCTCACACTTGTGAGTGTCAGGTATCCAATACTTACTTCTAAAATCCTATATTCTCTCTTGTGAGTGTCAAACATTTTCTATAGACTTCTTGATTTAATTATTTAACAGTTATGCTATACATGGAGGATGTTATGATGTTGCTTATAATTTTATGAAATCGTTTCATTATTTAGTTTAATGGTAATATACTGTAAGTATAAATCAATATTACATATACAAACAATCAAAATGCATATTTTTTGTTATGTCATATTAGTATTTTAAAAATAAAAATATATTTTAATTAGTTATATAATTGTAATTGATTGATAATATAAAAATAATTTATACTATTAGTGTATATTTCTTTTTCTCTTTTTTTTTTATTTGACACATTATTTGAGCGCTTACGAAAATTACAAATTTTCTCTACCAAGCTTTCAACAAAAATTTAAGATAAAATTAATGCGATGTTGTTAATCAATACGACATAAACATTTCATAAGTATAGAGATAATAATTAGGACGAGTTGAAAAATGTGATGGCATTTTTGCGAAAATCACGATAGTAATTCTCATGCTTGTAATGTTGAGTGCAAGGGCACACTCATGATCAAATTAATCAACACTTTGAAGTGATATCTTTTCTATTACAATTGATTGCACGAATTGATTCACATGTTCTTTGAACAAATAATAAAACTTTTAAATCTAAGCAAATAGTTTTATTCATAAAAGATATTTATAAAGCTTTTTGGAATGGAAAATATATGGATTCTTATCAAGGTGATTTTTGAAGGCGAACTCTAAAATATTGTACGATTAAACTTTGATTAATTAAAATTTAAAAAATATTGTCACAGTTAAATGTGGTTTAATTGGATTTTTATTTATTTTGTCATAATTATATTGTAAAAAAACCACGTATGATTCCAAAAACTTGAAATCGTGGTTTAATAGGATATATTAGCTGCGGAATTCTCTTTTCTGCAACAGATACAGACATAAAATATAATTTATTTGATTTTACCCACTCTAATAATGTGAAAATAAAGATGATAGAAAGTCTACAGTATACATCTTTATATACGGTGGAGTACCAATCTCATGGTGTTCGAAGAAGGAACTGGTAGTTGCACTCTCGTTTTATGAGACCGAGTATATTACTACCTTGTTATGTGCATATCAGACGTATGACTAATGAATCTATTGAAAGAGTTGGACAACAATGAGAATGAGACTGTCATATTCTTGGTTGATAATGTTTCGGTCATTAATCTTACTAATAACTCAATTGCACATGGGATGAGAAAGCATATTGAAATGACATTTCACTACTTGAGAGAGTTTATTAGTGAAGGCAAATTAAGATTGAGATATTGTAGAAGTGAAGATCAAGTTGTTGATTTGTTGATCAAGGGAGTCACAAATGATGTGTTCAAAAAGTTGAAGATAAACACGGGCATTGAAGACTTTGAACACTTAAATTAAGGTGGTGTGTTGTGTAAAAATCAGTAATTCAAGTGTTGTAATCGGTTAACACGAGGTGTTACCAATTACAGCTTGGTGGAAAACACTTATGGACAAGGAAAAAACAGTTTTAGAGTTGTATTAATCGCTTAACAGTTTATGTTAACCGGTTATAGTTCCGAGTTTTGACTTTTTCTTGTATTTTGTTGATGTGTTTTAAGTCCTAATTATTTTGTAATATGTATACATCTCTTAGAGACATCTTTATCTTTAATTAATGAAGTTATTCTCTCTCACACATACTCTCTATCTCTTCTCCGTCATTATCTATATATCATAAATTCTTTATTGTTTACCAATTATATGATTGTATGTGCCAACAATATCATAAATACATTTATTGTAAAAGAAAAAACAAAACTTAGAACAATTTCAAAAGTAAGAAAATCAGAAGGATGACAAAGGAAACAGATATAATGTTATTTTACTCTGATTCATGGTTAAAGTGGCGTTGGTTGTAAGAAACTTGCACTTATTCTGAATTGATAGAAAATAACTTCGAGTGGAGGTGCTTTAAGCATTGAAATTATAATAGTTTGAACTTCACATGAATGAATAGATTGGTTCTATATAAAAATAAAAAAGTTGAAATTTCAAAGTCTATAACCATGCAAATACTTGGCCCATCTTCTAGCCATATAAGGATCATGAAAATCCCAGCATTCAACACTACTATTCCTACCACCTGTGTTTGTAGTGTTCATATCTCTTTCACTCTCATTCTCTTCACCATCATCATCTTCACCTTTATGTTCATCTCCAACACCTACAACACTTTCTCCTGTTCTTCTAACACACTCATCAATTTCACCTTCTATGTAGCTGTATTCTACATACACATGACTACAATCACCTAACTCTAATACAATTCTTCTTTCTTCTCCACCTCTTATCTCTCCGATTCTTATCACTCTTCCATTTCCACCTTCCTCGCCGGCTCCGCATATTCTTAGTTGGATTTCCCTAACAATGCCTCCTAACATTTTGGCCAAAAATTCCTCAAACTCTTGCATCACAAATCCACTTGAAGTGCCGAAGCCGAATCCTACATGGAATCGATGAATTGGTGTGGATGGAAGTTCCATGCTGATCGCATGGTATGGTCTTGTAGGATTGTCAGATAGGTGGAGGATACATGACTCGGGGTTCTTGTGTAATCGGTCTTCGAGTATCTTGATTCCTTTCTTCAACCCTTCGACTGGATCAGCTTGGCCCATGTAAAACAAACGGTCGATAACTTGAAGGGCTGTGCGTTTTCCATAGGTTGTCATGCGTCTTAAGGGGAAGACACGAGCTGCGGCTGAGGAGTATGTGACAATGGCTAGTCGGTCAATGTGCCTGAGGGAGAAAACCACAAGAGCCATTGCTTGTTTGAGAAGCCTTAGGTGTGGTCCATTGGGACTAGCAACTAAGACCAAGTCGGTTGCTCGTTCGTGGGCTAGTTTTACTGAAAGATAAGCTCTATTAGACGAGGGACAGGTGATATAAGGCGTTTGCATAGGCGAAGAATGTAACATCGATGACGAGCTGCAAGGACATGAGGCATGGTTGCTCACTTGCAAAGCAGGATGGAAACCAGTTGCTGCATTTGATGGAATATGTTCTAGAGAGAAACACAATTTAGGAGTGTCAGGTGATTCATTAGGCTCAACAGGATCGTCGTCATCATAGCGAGCAGTACGCAGGACAGAACGGCGGTGAACACGGAAGGTAGCAATTGAATCATCAAGGATTCGAAGAATAGGATCACTTTGGTTACTAGAAGCAAAAGAACCAGAAAGAGTGTTGGTAAGGTTGCGAGGGAGCTGTGTCCAATGGGCACGGCAAATGGGGCAAGTGACACTACCGTGACGGACATTGGAAGAGATGCAGGCAAAATGGAATGCATGAGAACACTGAGCAGTGAATATAGCTTGGCCTGGACTGCTTCCCTTGCTGTGGTAACTCAGAGGATCTAAGCATATAGCACACAAACCCTGCAAAGTTACATAAAGCGACGGGTCAAGTGAACCGTCTACGAATGAATACAAGTGCAGTTTACCGAGAAAAACCACTATTATAAAGTGACTAACACTGCAATTTGATTATGGAATAAATGAATCAATAAATTGAATGTTATGCTATTAGCAAACTAACCATACAAAAAATAAAGATAACTACCATATTCAATTTTCAAATGTATATTAAAACAAAAAAACTTCTATTAGAAGTACTTTTGAATGAAATGAAAAGTGACATGCAGACAAAGTTTGACTAAACTCAGATGAAGATGAGGACAGATGCATAGTTGTCAATTCCTTCATTGGTAGATATAAGCACCAGTACAAGCCCTTGTCAAGGTTTGTGGTTTTTCTAGCAACATCCATACAGAAATTAATGATATAGGTCATGATTGGATAAATAGTTTTATTAAGCACTTATAACGTAAGTGCTTATCATAGAGCTAATGAATGAGTAATTTCTATAACAAAAGAAAAAAAATGAAACTATTTTCCTACAAACTAAAAGCTACTAGTATTAAGCTATTCTTAAGAGTTTATGGAAATAAGCTGAAAACAATTTAAAGATATGTCTAAGTTATTATCATAACCTCTCCCAATTAATTTAACAAGTGCTTATGTCAATAGATATGCTCAAACATGTCAATCCAAACACGCCTTTAATCAATCTTATATCACTCTTTAAGGACATCAATAAATGAGATTCCAATTCAACACTAAAGTGACAAAAGATTGTGTGCATCACAAAAGCTCACTCCCTTCATTAGGAAGCTATTGAACATGTAGATAACACAACAAAATAGAAGGAAAAGCATGAGCATGCATGTTGTAACAGATGAAACTTCCTAATGTAGGGTCTGCCTTAATAATGAATTGATTCTTGGCTTCACTTATGCGCCATGTGCTAAGATATTCACATGCTAGTATCCTCTATTCACTACTTTTGTATTCTAAACAAATTTCAGTACCAAAATAATAGCTTTAACACTTGTTCAAAAGAAAAAAAATTAAGCATCACATTAAAAAAGTTCAAGTAAAAAAGCAAAACCGCTCCAAAAATCCAATCATTATGGTTCATTGGATTCTAAAGTATTTTCTGAAGTATGTGAAAAAAGTCAACAGATGCTTTAAACAGGGAAGTTGTCTTTAATCCTAAACTTGTGAATTTTTAGATAACATTTATACATATCAAGTAGCTTTTGTAGAAATGTTAATAATACCAAACCTAAAAATAACAATTAAGGTGGTTTAGATTTTAAGGAGCTACAAGTCAAGTTGCTTTTGTAGAATGTTAATAATAACAATTACCTTACTATGAGGCTCATTATTGTTGATGTTTGTGGTTATAGTTGAATCAGTTTCTTCAATTATTTCTCCTGAGGAATATTTTGTTGTAGATGGAGACACAAATGAGGAATTTGAGATCTACAAAACATGTTAAAAACCTAAGTAAATGTCACATTGTATTGTCACAAATCTTCATATAACATATGTTAAGACTAATGACAAAAAAACACACTCAATTAGAAAGTAACTTAATCAGAAAAACTGAAAAATATAATGACATTACTAATAAACACAAAATTCATAAGTAACCCTCTAACCACTATCCTCACCAAAACAAAAATACTAATAAAAAAAAAGGAAATTTTGAACATAATGGATTAAAAACATAATTAGGAAGAAACATCATGAATTCCATAAATTAGACATTTTTTATGGAAACCCAATTTGGAAAAATTGAAGTTGATTCTAAAATGCAGGGAAAGTTTGCAACTTTATACAAAATGCTAAAAAGCCAAGAAGTAAAAAATGCATTTTGGTAGAAGAAGAAGAGGGAAATTGGAAGTGTGTACATACAGTGGCAGATAAAGCACAGGAAGTGTCAATGGGAACTGGATCCACCAATGATTTTCTTCTGGAGAATGAACCACATGCATAGATTGCAGCAACTGCAACTTTTCTTGCTACTTCTCTAAGCTTTGATGTTCCTCTTCTTCCTCCTCCTCCTCCTTCCCTCATTCTCTGTGTGTGACCCTTTGAGTCTGAAAAATGAGAGGGTTTTGTGTTTGTTGTGTATGACAGAGAGAAAGAGAGAGAGAGGGTGTGTGAGAGGAGACAAAGGGGTCTGCAGAAATCAGCAATGGGCAGGTTGTGTTACCATCGTTGGTGTTACTTTTTAAAGTGACTATTATTGTTGTTGTGTTATTTTCATTCTTCGTCAATATCAATATCATACACGCTTATATATAAGTCAAGTACATTTTGCATTCATATGCTTTCAAACCACTGCAACAAATATACATTATTATATTACATGTGGTCTTGTTCACATTTACCAATACAATGTTACTATGGAGTGAGAGTTAACTCTTTTTCTTTTTTTACTCTATTGTATTCATACAAATAAACCAGCCGAATTGGGGTAGGAGAAAGATTTTTTTTACCCTATTGTATTATGTCTTTTCATATTTATGTGTATTTTAAAAATAGATGTGTAGAAGTAACCCTTAAGACTTTGACTGATAAAGAGATTAAAAATGTTTAGAGATGGTAGAAATTAGAAATTCAAAGCAATGGTAGGAACGTCGATGAAAGACGTTAAAGTGGTGGTGGAGGCAGTCAAACACTAGATCAGAAATTAAAGGGTGATGGAGATTGACAAAGGGGTTGGGGAATCTTGAGGAGGTCGGCACGACAGAGCTCTGGTGGCAATGATAAGTTGGATTTGAGGGGGATAATTCATGTCTATCGAGTATTGGAGTCATTTGCAGTGTATTGGGCTTGGTCGCTTCAATTTGTGGATATGATAGTTAATGAGTTGTGTTTTGATTGGTTAAGAATCTATTGGATTTCACCAGTTATAAATATGTATCTCTATCACTATTGTCTTCACAACCTTCAATGTATAGTCTAAAAGACAGGGATGAGGTGAATATTCTATGTAAAACTTAGAGAGGGAATGATAGAAATTCATATGATTGTGTTTTTGGAATTTTGGAAACCTTTAAAGCTATCTAAGGAGATTGAGAAGCATTTTTAAATACATTTGATTTGTGTGATTCATATATAAAGAGTTTGAGAGATTGAGATTTATTTGGGTGAAAAATAAGATTTATTCTTACGAATACGGGTGACTATTTTCTTGTAACTCTTTTTTAATCTCTTGTAACAATTCTTGCAAGTATAGTGAATCAGAGAGTTTTTATCTCTCTTATAGTAGATTACTTTGATCGAGTTGGGTAAACAAGTTTCTTTGTATTCTTATTTTTTAACTTCCTCTTATTCGTGGTAGATTTACCTTCATTCTTAACATGTTAGTGAGTTATTTGAAACCATTTATTTTGATTGTCATTGTTCTTTTCTGTACAAATCAAATATAGTGGCATGTTTGAAGTTGTCAACAAATTCACTAGAATTATTAAAGTTTTAACAACAAGTGATGCTCACAGCAGGACAAAGGGATTTTGTTTACAAGTGAGAACCATGGGTTCTAAATTGCTGATCCATAAATTTTCCAAAAACAAAGATTTTGGATTGTGGAAAGTGAAGATACAAAAAATTTTAGCTTAAAAAAGTGTAATGAAGTATTCAAGGGTAAGGTATCGATGGCATGTAAAAAAGATAATTTTATGTATTATTAATTTAGGCTCCAAACTAGAGCTCGGGCGATTTTTTTTATTTGTAATCATGTCTGATGATTTAGGCTATTGCACTAGAGTTGAATACGAGGTGTTGAAGATTTTGTATGATGGTCATGGCTAAAAGGTCTAAAATATGTGGATTATATTTTTATTTGGTTTCAATATTGTTGTTCATTCATTATTGGCTAGTGAAAACTTTCATGACAAGAATATGCAATGGGGTTTGGGGTCAAAACATGATAGATTCCTAGAGATTGTTTTAGATCACTTTGATGAATTTTGTAGAAGACTTGGGATAAAAACACATTTGGCCGCTGAGTTTCCATTGAGTTTCTGGGGGGAGTATAGTGGCAAAGCATTTTACCTTGTCAGAAGACTTCCATACAAAGGAATAGACTTTCAGATGCCTATGAAGTTTTGGAGTAAGAAACTTGCTAACTAATTTGTTTTAAAGGTCATCCAAGTTTTTCCTATTGCACAAATCAAGTTATCGAGCTTGATGGTAGAGTTGTAAATTGTGTCTTTGTTGGTTTTTCAAGAAGTAAGAAGGTTTATGAGTCATGTAAGATGGAACTTAGAGGATCAAAGTTCATCATTCAAATATGTATTAATTTTAGCGAGTTTCGTTGGAGAGGAAGAGTAAAGACTTGAAGATGAAGGTTTTAGAAACTACGAAGGATAAAACTCAGCTTGAGATAAAGGTTCTTCCTATGGACACTAGAAGTAGTGATAAACGATTACATAAACTTATGATTATCATTTGATCCATGATAAGGTAATAATGTAGATTGTACAATCCTAAAGGTACGATTATGGTGACAATGGGTGTTATACTTGAATGTAGTTGAAAGGTTGCAAAAGTTAGAAACAATGACTTTTAAGGATGCATTCGAAAATAAGTGGAGTCAAATATGGTTGAAGAACCATGCTTAGGGGCTTGTTAGTTATCTAAGTGTGAATAGGTGGTTGAAAGCAAATGGGTACAAGTGGCTAGATCAATGTTCAAGTGTGACTTGAACTTGATCAAATTTATTGAAGGATGATTCAAATCAGAGAGAGAAACAAGGTGGTTGATGAGAAAATTGGCATCACTATAGTTTAAATTCAAGGTAAAAAATATTTTAGATGTATGTCTTAAAACGTTGAAAGATAAAGAGAAATAAACCATGTTTCAAAATTTCCAGAAATCATAAAGTAAAAAAGCAGAAAACGTTTCGAAAGAAGAAGCTGGAGCCGCGAGGGTCCATTAATCGTCAATGGAGGTATGGTCGTTAGACGATGAATGTCCAGTCGTCCAATAGAGGTGCGTTTGTGCACGGGAAGTTCATGTCTGTTGGGGCATCAAGTCAGATTCAATCAGTTCACATGTTTTCGACTTTACATATCTGTCTATTAATGAGTTATGTTTTGGATCATTAAGGATTATTGAGTTTCAACACTTATAAATATGTATCTATATCATTTTTGTCTTCACAACCTTTCAAATGCACACCGGAAGACAAAGGGAGAAGGTAGCAATCCTAAGAAAAATTTAGAGAGACAAGGGTAAAAAATTATATAATTGTGCTTTTGAAATTTCGAAAACCTTAAGAGGTATATAAGGGGATTGAGAAACATTTCTAAATATCTTGGACTTGTGTGATTTATATAAAGAGAGTTAGCGATATTGAGAAACACTAAGATTGAAAATAGGGTTTGTCTTGACAGCTTTTGTGACTATTTTATTATAACTCTTTTATAATCTCTTGTAATAATTATTGCAAATATTGTGAATCAAAGAGTTATTTTTTTCCGAATAAATATATTTAATTAAACTAAATAAATAAGTTTTTTTATATTCTTGTCTTATTGCTCCTCTAATATTGATGTAAATGCAACATTGATGATGCATATGAAAGATCCCGTGGCCTCGCCATTTGTGTGAATATTTATAAATACTTTAAAGCTTCTTTTATGGGAACTTTTACTAACAATTTAAGTTTTTTTAACTCTCTTTATGTTGGATTAGTGTTTTCCATTTTATCCATTGAAATTGCTTATGACAAAAAAATCGTACAACCTCCAAATATAATGCCATTATAAGCTTGTGTATCAAGTTTTTTCTAATAGAAAGTATATTTCTTGAAAGCTACAAATAAATGGTCCAACTCCCTTTATTTAATTACAAACTTTTATTTTATATTTGTTTGGGAGTTTAGAGGGGAATGAAGAGGAGGATTTTGAAAAAAAAATTAAATAGAAAGAATAAAAGAATTTTGATGGAAAGAGTTTTAAAGGATTTATTTTTATTTAAAAATTAAAACTGTCCCGATTTAAAGAAATTAGAAAAAACTATTGAAGAAGGAGTTGGAGGGTTTTTGAAATCTTAGACAAATTATTTAAATATAACTTGTGTTGTTATACTATTTAAAAAATTAAAAATGTGTTTAAGGATTCTCTTTTATCATTTTATAGAAAATATCTTTTTTTTTAAATATTAAACATCTCTATTTTTTTGAAATTCTTCTTTCCCCTCTCATCCAAAATCCCAAACATAATCTTAAAGTCTTTCATATATGTATAAAGAAAGGAAATAAATATTTGTGTAGATGGTCTCACAAACACTTCTTTTGGTTATGATGATTTTAATTGGTAGAATGGTTTAGGAAATCGTATTGAACAATAATTCTTCAAAAACAAATATGGATTATTTTATATCCAATTTCATTCAATTTTTATTTTTATTTTGTATGTGATATGTTGGAGCACAAGAAATATAAACGACAAAAGGAATATTTATTGATAGCTTTAAAAATAAGAATTTACAATGAATTACAATAACCTATTCCACTAAGTTATTTATACACAAAAATTAAATCTAAAATATATCTTCTACAAAGATATAAGAAGATCTAAGATATATACCTTCTAACAAAGATATAAACAATTTAAAAGATATTCCTAAATATAAATTAATATCTAATTAAATCTAAATTAATTCTAACACCATCCCTTAATTTATATTTACCCAAAACTGACAACACCAATTTCATCCCTTAAACAAAGAAATTGATTAGTTTTGATAGTCTTTGTCAGAACATCTGTCAGTTGCTTCTGAGTGCTACAGTGCACAACCTCTAATATTCCATTCTGAACTTCATTCCTCAGAAAATGATACTTGGTCTCAATATGCTTGCTTCTCCCATGCAACACTGGATTCTTGGCAAGATTGATTGCAGACTTGTTATCAATCATCAACTTCAGAGGTTTATTTACCTCAATCTTCATATCTTTTAGCAAGTTCAGAATCCACACAGCTTGACATGCAGTCAGAGCACCTGCAATATATTCAACTTCACAAGTTGACAGAGAAACAACAAGTTGCTTCTTGGAACACCA